GCCGCAGCCTGGGCCCTTGCTACAGCAGCTGCCATCCCAATTTTTGCGTGGCCCTTTTTGCAGTCAGCGAATGCCTCCTGCCTGCAGCCTGGCAGCTGCTGCCTGCCAGGTCTCCCCTGCAGCTGCCGGCTCTGGCAGCTGCCTGGTGCCATCTCGTGGTTAAATAACTTCTCCAGAGCAACCCCATTTCTGTCCTGCCACTGCTCTTCCACTAGAAAGAAAAGAAAACCTCCGGTATTAATTTTTAGCAGGATATACCTGCATGGTTTTGCACGGGTTGGGTAAAAGTGCTGGTCGGTGCTGCCTGTTCAGGAGGGGCCGGGTGCCGGCTCTGGCAGCTGCCTGGTGCCATCTCGTGGTTAAATAACTTCTCCAGAGCAACCCCATTTCTGTCCTGCCACTGCTCTTCCACTAGAAAGAAAAGAAAACCTCCGGTATTAATTTTTAGCAGGATATACCTGCATGGTTTTGCACGGGTTGGGTAAAAGTGCTGGTCGGTGCTGCCTGTTCAGGAGGGGCCGGGCAATGTGGGTCTCACCTGAGGCCACTCAGGTGGGGATGTGGTGTTTACGACCTCATAACCTTGTATTCCTGCAGGAGAACAGGTCGCTGCGTTGCGCAGCCAGGATGGCCAAGTCTACGTGGTCGACACTTACTGCCCTCCCCTCGGGGCCAACCTCGCCGCCGGTGGGCACGTCGTGGGCAATTGCGTCGAACGCCTGTTTCACGGCTGGCAGTTTTGAGGAAAAAAAGATGGAAAATGCACCCGCATCCCGCATGCTGAAAAAGGTGAAGTTCCCCCAGATCTGCAGAAAGCATCTGCAGCAACGGCAGTGGCCTGTGTGTCCTCATTAAAAGGTACTTTGTTAAGGAAAAATGGTCCTTATAATAACTCACCCCCCATCCTGCTCCCCTATTCCATGCAGTGCCCTACTTCTCCTCCTAGGCTGCCCATGTCAGGGCATAACTTTCCTGTGCCCTTTCCTGTGTTAGATGACAACTGGAACTTTAGTCTAGACAAATCATCACCCTTCTTGATTTTGATAGTCCTACAACTCCTGCCTTCAGCAAAGCAGGGTATAAAAGAAGCTTTTTAACTCTGAGGCAATGCATTGCACCAGAAGGGATGCAAACAAAAACTCTCCGAGTGCTGGATCCTGAGGAACCATTTGGTTTCAGAAATTATTCTGTACTCTATAGCGGTAGCTCACACCACGTCAGTGCTTAAATCTGTCGCATTAGCATGACAGAATAGTCTCTCAATGGCAGTTTTTTCTCCTTTTAAGGCTTGAAGGGAACTTTTGGTTGAAATCCAGGAAAGCTCTTCGCATACACCTACCTTTTAGATATGGTTTGCGTTGACTGTGTAGGAAGAGTGTCTTACTTAAAGTTCACGAGTAACAATTACCTGATCTGGCTGCACAAATTGGTTTACATCACCAATTCTAAACGCGTCTGAAACCAGCAAACAGACTTACCTGGAGTTTTGCTTTGGCTTGTGCTTCTTAGTTATTTTCCCTGACACCAACTTTCTCTGATTGCGATTGATGGGGAGAGCAATGAAAACATTGATTAGCAGCAAAACTCAGTCTTTCTACTAAACTACTACTAAAACTCAGTCTTCCTATTTTTCCCAAAGTGAAAGAAATATTCTGTCCATATATATTAAGATAAACAATTTACAGATCCCACCAAACAGCAAACCTTTTTTTTTGGTGGGTGTTTTTTTTACCCAGAAAAAAGATTAGTACTGGATTTTTTTTTTCCATCCATACTCACTCAGGAGCTGCATTTGATTGAAAAGTTGGTTCCAAATAATAAGGAATGATGTGTTTCATCACAAAATGAGAATGAATATTCTGGACATATGGAAATGCTTGCCAAAATGCATTGTTTCACCTGAAACTGCTGTATTCAGAGTTGTAGCTACTGGTAGCTATTAAAAGAACAAGACTGCAGACAGCTGCCCTGCTCCCATACAGGCCAAATGGGTCAGGTTGATTTAAACAGATTTAAGAGCCATCTGTGCTCATGCAGGTCACTTTGACGGAGAGGGATTTTGGAAAGCTGGGATGGGCAGCTCCGCCGGCGCCAGGCTGGCAAGGGCCCGACAGCCAGGCAGGGCAGCCACGGAGCCCAGCCTGCTGCTAGCTGCCTGTGTGGGCGCAGATGAAGCCCTCTCTAAAATGTAATGAGATGCATCCCACCCAAAGCACCAGATTTTCCCAGAAATCGCAGCGACGGTCTCCGCCTGCCCCCTCTGATATTCATTTACTGAAAGAGAAACATCATTTCTCCTGCTATTTCGCCTCCCACGTGGGTGTACAAGGCTGAGTAATAAGGAAGCGCTATTCTCCGTGCTTGTTTGCAAATTAGAAGAAAAAGTAATGAAGGCAGAAGCCTTCCAATCCAGTAGAAGCTACATTTTCTGAATATGGGGTAAATAGAAATGCCAACATTCATTTCACAGGAAAGACTGCAGATATATTTTTAAAGCAACACGATACTGCTGTATTGTAACAGAGAATGACTTGGACTCGAGAGGTAGAGATGGCTTTTACTCTCTGCACCCCTCTAACTAAAACCATCTCCTTTTAGCTCATTGAAACTTGGGGAGGGTCCATTGATGCAGCAGAGAACAGTTTTAAGAGAAGTGAAAGGTGGCTGCAGAGCAGCCAGCCACGCTTCTTCCTTAAAAGACTTATGCGAAACACCCAGTTGAAATAAGACTGATTCAAGCAAACACCCTTCTGGGAACTTCAGAAGCTGTCGTCCTTCTTCGGCAGCCTGAAAGGTGGCAAGTGTCACTAGCGCTCTGCGCCCATCAGGACGATCTCTGAGCCGTGGTTCAGGACAAGGTGACCTTCAGCGCCAGCGTCAGCCTTGGAGATGCCTCTTTTAACCGACTCCTTTCTGGCCTCTGTAAGTGCCAGATTTTGTGAGGGTCTGCACTGCCCGTCCTGCGAGGTGAACGGGATGCTGCTGGTCTGGTACCACCGCGACGGGGTCGGTCTGGCGTGGGCAGTGCCCGAGCAGCGGGAGATGGCCACCGAAAAGTGGGTGTTCCACAGGCAGACGAAGCGCTTGGTCGATGCACACATCCAGGTAGGGAGCCCGCTCCTCCCGTGGGGCACGTCCGTGCCTGGGTCCTCTCCTACAGTCCAGTTCAGGGACATCTCCTCCCAGTCAACCCATTCAGGGCCGTCTCCCTCCCATTTAGCGGGGCTCTGCCTGCACCCAGTGCCACCGCTGCCTCCAGCAGAGCTCAGCCCCAGAAGTACACCCCTGTGCCGTACACCAAGAATACGGCATATGCTCCCCAAACACAGATCGTGGGCTTCTTGAGTAGAGAGCAGATGTTCTGGGTACTTAAAAGGAATCTGTTAATTTGCTTTGACTTATAACTGATGTAATTTAAAAAAAGATTCTCTAAGAACTGCGGCACTTAGTGTCAGGAGGCTTTTCAACTCGTCGATCACCAAAATGGAAACGCACAGTTATTTTGCCATTAATCTTCATAATCACCATCACACACTGACATATGTGCCACAGAGAGCAAAATGGCTGTTGCCGTTTTGTTCTTGTTGAACCAGCAGACGGGAGCGATGCTCGCTGGGCTCCGGCTCCGGACACCGCTCCGCCTGGAGGGGTGGAGACGGATCGGCTCAGCCCAAGAGTCCTCCCAAAACCTTGGGAGGTTTTTACACACTTTTGGCTGAGCAGAACACCTCCGTGGTTTGTAAAAATCAGTAACAAAAATGACCCTTAATCTAAAGCGCACTTCTCTCCAAAGGCAGTGCCTGCCTGCTGGCTAAATCCCAACTAAGGTGAGTGGGCTAGAAAGAAATGAAGAGTTATTAGAAGAAATTAAGAATGCACATGACACACAGGAGATACTGCTCTGGGTGTGGGAAGAGGAGTTGTGAGATGCAGGGATAATTTGGCAGATTGATGTGATAGTAGTATTTATTTCATGTCTGCTTTTCAGTGCCAGCCACTGTACACAGGTCTATACTGGGACCAGTCTGTGCTACTTGCCAAGCTGGTGGAAAGCTGGTGTATTTGAGTAATAAAGCAGTTAAAACTTCTCCAAAGTGACATGCTGTGGGCAGGCTGGTGAGTTTTAAAGGTTTTAAAATATGTGAAATCTAGTCTAGGAGCACAAACATAAAAATGCTTTATTACCTACAATTATTACAGGGCCAAAGGAAGGACTTATTTGGAGGCTCAGCTTGTGTAGCTGCAGAAGTTAAATGTATAGACGTCTTTGAGCTTAAAATTAACTCTGAATTTTCTGAGCTTCATGTTTAAATTGTTTCCATACACTAGTTGAGAACTGGTCCCAGGTCAGTCTGTGCTGAGGTCCCTTCCTCCACTCACTCGGTTGCCTCTCGCTGTGCCGTCTACCTGCGAGCGTCTCTGCAGCGTGCGGGGCCGTACCGCAGTGCTCTTGCAATACTGCTGTTGAATGCAGGGAGCTCGCACACAAGTCCGCTCTCACCAGTGGCAAATTTTCCCCCGAAGGCAGGAAATCGCCAGGAACGTGGCCGGCACGGCTCACCTGGCTTTCTTCCACGGACCAGCTATTCTGGGCAGCTCTAGTCTAAGATACAAAAGGTCAAAGCTGTGGGATTTTATGAAGCATATCTGGAAGGTAAGACCCTAACTCCCTCTGAGCCATGAGGTGGCTCAGTGCTTTCAAACCAGGTCCCCTTTCTGACGCAAAACATCAGCCCCACCTCACCCCCTCTGCTGCATCCCCCCGTCTTCAGGTCCACTCTCCTTTTTCTGTCTCTGAGGGTTTTAGCTGCACTCCCTCATCGGTGCTCATCTCTAGATGGTCTCCACAGCCAGCTCTTGTCACCACTCGTTGCTACCTCCTCTCAAACTGAGCCAGTCCTTCTCCACCCCTCCAGGTGGAGTGGCCTCCACAGCCAGAGCCCAATGAGCATTGCTCCTGGCTGCTGGTTCAACACACCGCAACCGTCTTTGGGAAGCACGTCTCCTTGATAGATTTCATGGTTTCAGCTGGGCAGGTATGTCCCACGCTGGTGACCACCAGCACCCCAAGCAGAAGGGCTTTGTCCCCCAGAAGACTGAGTCCTTTCCCACCCCGCCCAGCGTAGCCTTTCCTACCCTACATGGGCCAAAACTACACACTGGCATTGGGGCTGCTCCACAGCTGGAGAGCACGGAGAAAAGGGAGGGTTCGCAAGGACTGCTGTGCCCACATAAAAAACCCAAACAGATAGTACCTGAGCAAACACTGGTGACAGTCTCAAGGGACCTTCACACCATGTTGACACAGCTCTTTACAATACAGCACTGTGTACCTTTTCAGCCCGTGGTGAACATACCTGGGAAAGACAAACAATCAGCAACAGCGCGTCTTTTAGCCCAAGATCAGCCCTGAATGAGATAAAAAATAGATGTCAGAGATTGATAAATAATTAAGGGAAAATAGAAATAATGCCACTAAACATGAATCAATGAGAATGAGATGTTCTCACTTTTGGTTTTGGTTGTGTTGTTTTGGGTTTTTTTAATGAAATGCCAAGCTCACCTGATAAAACTAGTAACTTTGTTCTACTACATTTTTGAAGGCATTTAACCTATTCCCACATTACAAATTCAGAATAATAGCAAAACATGTCATGTTACAAAACTTTGATAAGGGATAGATCTTGATGTAATTAGGGAATTATCACAAAGTGGATGTTGATTGTATCTCTGTTCAGTTCTTAGGTCTGTGCTATTCAGCACTGATACCAATGAGCAGGAAAAAACCAGACGTTCAAATAACCTTACAAGAAGTTTGTACCCAACCAATCATTAAAGGAAGTAGTAAATAAAGTAGCTGAAAACCCGGCAATCTGCACTGCCTCAGCCAACCAAGCGTATGACCATGCATCTGTGTGTCTGGATGCATGTCAAAGACCAGAGGACAATCACAGAATCACAGAATCATTAAGGTTGGAAAAGACCTTTAAGATCATCAAGTCCAATCATCAACCCAACACCACCATGCCCACTAAACCATGTCCCCAAGTGACATGTCTACACAGTTTTTGAACACCTCCAGTGATGGTGACTCCACTACGTCTCTGGGCAGCCTGTTCCAATGCTTGACCACTCTCTCCATAAAGAAATTTTTCCTACTATCCAATCTAAACCTCCCCTGGTGCAGCTTGAGGACATTCCCTTTTGTCCTATTGCTAGTTACTTGGTAGAAGAGACCAACACCCACCTCAGCACAACCCCCTTTCAGGCAGTTGTAGAGAGCGATGAGGGCTCCCCTCAGCCTCCTCTTCTCCAGACTGAACACCCCCAGTTCCGTCAGCTCCTCCTCATCAGACGTGCTCCAGACCGCTCACCAACTTCGTTGCCCTTCTCTGGACACACTCCAGCAACCCAATGTCCTTCTTGTAGCTGAACCTGAGCCCCCAGTCTTATACTTCAGCTAAAACCTAATGTGACTGTTGTAGCTGCGAAGGAGAAAGCCAGAGCAGGAGTAGGGATGTTGTATTATCTCCATACCGTATTGCAATCACTGCTACTGAGATCTGGAGACCAGGACTGGTGTCAACAATCTAATAAGGCTGTTGACAACCTGAAGGTAATTCAGTGATCAACAACAAGGCCAACATCTTCTTTCATAGAGGATTAGCTTTTAAATTTTGGGGGACTGTAAAGTTAACAGAGTACTGTAAACTCTCATGAATTCCTGTGGGCGCACAGCAAAGCCATCCAGCTCTGACATTCCATCTGTGAATGCCCCAGGCCAATAGGGGCTTCATGGCTCTGCTGGATTTCCCCTGGCCTGGGGAGCATTAACAGTTGGCAACCAGTCTGTGACTCATGGCCCTGAGGCATAGTTTGACTTTGTGCCTATTATCTGGTGAAAAACAGAGTAAAGGGGGACTTGAGCACAGTCTGAGAGACATCTCAAGCAGGTCTCAAGCTATGGGAGTTCCTGAACCACCAGGGACTCTTCCCTGAGGGTGTTCCATTGCTCTGCAGGTGGGGCCAGGGCTGGTTCTCCTGATCTTTGAACATGCTTTCCTTGGCCATGGGATCATCCTGCAGACAGTGACTCCTCTGGAGCCTCTCCTGCAGAATGTTGTCCACAAGATCTACTACCAGAAGAACATGCCAGCCATAATCCCAAGTTCATCCTGAGAGCAGATGTACACAAGTAAGGCTTCTGAAGAAGAGCAGCCAAAAGTGGTCCCCTGGAGCTTGGTGGCTAGGAGCAGTGAGAAGGAAGAGCAGTTGCCCATGTGGGCTCAGATATGTGGGAGGAAAGCACTTGCAGGCAAGATCCTTTCAGTGCTTGGCACAATCTTTTAGTTTTAGTACCTGAAGAACTAAACAGGAAGTTTAGTAAAGAGGGTCCCTGCAGTGACTCATCTGTGGATGGGAGAGAGGTGCTACTCTTCTCCTGTGCAGGGGGAACTGGGGCACAAAGATTAGGCAACCTCTCCCAGGCTGCAGGAAGTCTTTGAGGGAAACTAATAACTGCATCCAGATTTCCAGCATCCCAGGTTGGTGACCATCCTATCTCCTTCAGTGAGAACTATGCCAAGAAATCCTTCTTCTGTTAAATTATCATGAGATTTGGCAACTCTTGCCCCTCCTGACAGAGGTTTTCCAGGTCCTTACCACAGGGATTCGTAGAAGTGATGGAAGGTCTCTCTGGAGGTCTCCAGTTCAATATCCCAGGTTGCCAAGTTCAGGTCAGGCATGACCATTACTGAAACTTGGTGGGACAAATCCCACAACAGGAGTGTGGCTATCGATGGCTACAGGCTGTTCAGATGGGACAGGTGAGGAAGGAGGGGCAGCGACATCGCCCCTACATCAAGAAATGGATAGAGTGCGAAGAGCTGTCTCTGAGGAATAGCCATGAGCAGGTTGAAAGCTTATGGGTAAGAATCAGAGACCGAGGCAACAAAGGGAACCTCGTGGTTGGTGTCTACTACAAGCCACCTGATCCAGGGGAGTCTATTGATGAAGACTTCTTACTCCAGCTACAGGAGGCATCACGCTCACAGGCTCTCATCCTGCTGGGGGACTTCAACCACCACAGTATCTGCTGGAAAAGCAGCATGGCGAGCTGTAGCTAATCCAGTAGACTCCTGGAGTGCATGGAGGATAGCTTCTTAAGCCAGGTAATAGACAGAGGGGTTGCCATACTGGACCTGTTGGTCACCAACACAAGTGAGCTAATTGGTGATGTCAAGACTGGAGGCAGCCTGGCCTGCAGTGATCATGCAGGGGTATGGGGCAGGTGAAGAGTAAAGTCAGGACCCTGAATTTTAGGAAAGCAAACTTCCAGCTCTTCAGGAAGTTGGTCAATAGGACCCCCTGGGAAACTGCCCTCAGGGACAAGGGAACAGAACAGAGCTGGCAGATCTTTAAGGACATTTTCCACAGAGCACAAGAGCTCTTGATCCCCAGGTGTAAGAAATCAGGAAAGGAAGGCAAGAGACCAGCATGGCTGAGTGGAGACCTGCTGGGCAAACTAAAGGGCAGGAAAGAAATGCACAGGCAGGGGAAGCAGGGACAGGGATCCTGGGATGAGTACAGAGACGCTGCCTGGGTTGTGCAGGGATGAGGTCAGGAGAGCCACGGTGCAGCTGGAACTGAGCTTGGCAAGGGATGCAAAGAATA